AACAAAGCTAGGGACTAATAACTTAAAATTAGCCCAAACTCAACACTGCCCCTTAAGTTGGGAGTAAATGTCATACATTCCCAACTTGCGTAGATCATGCTCCAGCTTGTTTCTTGCAACACCTTTTGTAAGAACATCAGCAAGCTGCAAATCAGAAGCAATGTATGGAAGACAAACTTCCCTTGAGGTCACCCTTTCTCTTATGAAATGTCTGTAAACAGTCTCCCAATACTGGACTTGTGGGGCATGCATGTATTGACTCACCACACTCACTGCATAAGAGATGTCTGGTCTTGTCATACATAAATATAGCAACCGCCCCACTAGTCTCTGATATTTTCCAATGTCCTTCACCAGCTCATCTTCTGATGCATTAATTATGTGATTCTAATCAATAGGAGTACTAGTTGCCTTTGTTGCAAGTTTCCATGTTTCTTGTAAAAGGCCCAGAACATACTTCCTCTGAGAAATAAAAATTCCATGCTTTGATCTTGCTACTTCAATGCCCAAAAAATACCTCAGCTCCCCAAGATCTTTAATTTCAAATTCTCTATGCAGATTCTTTTTCAAACTGTCAATTTCACTCAGATCATTTCCTATAACTACAACATCATCCACATAAACTATCAGAACTGACACCAGGGACCCCCTCCGCTTCACAAACAAAGTATGGTTTGATTGAGTCTGAGTATAGCCAATAACAATCAAGGCTTTCCTGAACCTATCAAACCACGCTCTGGGAGACTGTTTTAAACCATAAAGAGACTTCTCCAATCTGCATACCTTCCCCTTTTCAGCATCACTGTAGAAACTAGCAGGAAGATCCATATATACTTCTTCTTGTAGGTCCACATTAAGAAAGGCATTTTTTACATCAAGTTGGAAAAGGGGCCAAGAGTATGAAGCAGCAAGAGAGAGAAGGATCCGGACAGAAGTCATTTTTGCAACTAGTGCAAAAGTCTCTAAGTAATCAATGCCATAGGTTTTAGTGTACCCTTTTGCAACCAGTCTAGCCTTATACATTTCTATGCTTCCATCTGCCTTGTATTTAACTGTATAAACCCATCTACATCCAACAGTCTCCTTACCCTCTGCTAGATCCACAATCTCCCACGTCTGATTCTTAATTAAAGTTGGCATTTCTTCCTACATGGTTGTCTTCCACTCAGGTTTGGAGAAAGCCTCACTAACACCCTTGGGTATAGACACAAAGTCGAGGGAAGAAAGGAAGGCATGATAAGAAGGAGAATGTCCACTATAGGAGAGATACTGTGAGATACAATGAGTAGTACACTTTCTCTTCCCTTTTCTGAGTGCAATAGGAAGGTCCAGGTCATCTGTAATGGGGTTAGTGGAATCAATAGGAACTGAAACATCAGAGTGATTAAAAGGAATACATGAGTCAGTGTAAGCCAAATCTAGAGTCTCCAAGGAACCGATAGAGGTGATGTGGGTTCTTCTACAGTGGAATCAACCTCCCTGTGAAGGCGCTGTCGTGAGTAGCACTGAGGAACTGGACGCAAGGGAGGTGGTAAGGTAGGTGACATAGGAGGGCCAGATACAGGAGTGGACATAGGGACTAGAACCGGAAGAGGAATAGATGGCTCACTTCCTTCCCCAAAACACTCCCCCTGAGAAGAATCCTTCGGGAAAAAAGATGTGGACTCAAAAAAGGTGACATCCATAGTAACATACCAACTCCCAGAGACTGGGCCATAGCAAATAGTACCCTTTATGATTTTCTGCATACCCAAGAAAAATACACTTCTTTGCCTTAAGATCAAGCTTCGAGCGGTGAGGACCAAGAACATGAGCAAAGCAAACACAACCAAAAACCCTGAGAGGAATGTGGAACATCTCCCCCTCAAGAAAAAGAAGGTTGAATGGGATGCTAAATCCAAGAACATGAGAAGGCACCCTATTAATCAAAAAGACTGCGGTGAGAATTGCATCACCCCAAAATCGAACTGGGACAATAGATGTGATCATCATGCTCCTCGCAATCTCAACATTGTGTTTATTCTTCCTTTCTGCTACACCATTTTGCTGTGGACTGTAAAAACAATTGCTCTGATGAATTACTCCATACTCTGATAGATAGTAAGCAAGGTTCTTCTCAAAATATTCCTTGGCATTGTCTGATTTGAACGTTTTCACTTGTACCCCAAACTGTGTTAGCACCATCTGATGAAACTGTCGAACCAAGGATGGTACCTCATCACAGGATCTCATCAAGTAAATCCAAGAATACCGGGAAAAATCATCCACAAATAAAAGAAATATTGCTAGCTGTTGAGTTGGGCCTAGTTGTTTTTTATTCTTATTTTAAGCTATTTAGTTAGGAAGTTGTTGGGCT